GGGTGTTCTGGTACCTCATCACTTCAGGATAATTCCCGATGCTCAGGTATCAAAAACAGGTGACCATAGGGTCTAGTTCACTTCAGGATGATTAAGGATACTCATGTATCAAAAACAGGTGGCCATAGGGGCTGGTTTTAGGGTGTTCAGGTCCTTCACCACTTCATGATGATTCGAGATGCTCAGGTATCAAGAACAAGTGACCATAGGGTCTGGTTTCAGGGTGTTCAGGTCCTTCATCACTTCAGGATGATGTCGGATGTTCATGTGTCAAAAACAGGTGGTCATAGGGTGTATTTTCAGGGTGTTCAAGTCCTTCATCACTTCAGGATGATTTGAGAAGCTATGCTATAAAAAACAAGTGGCCATATGACTTGGTTCGAAGGTGTTCAGGTCCTTCATCACTTCAGGATTATTCGGGATGCTCAAGTGTCAAAAACAAGTGGCCATAAGGTATGGTTTCAGGGTGTTCAAGTTTTTTATCACTTATGGATAATTCGGGATGTTCAGGTATCAAAAACAGATAGCCATAGAGCATGGATTCAAGGTGTTCATGACCTTCATCACTTTAGGATAGATTCGGGTTGTTCATGTATCAAAAATAGGTGACCATAGGGTCTGGTTTTAGGGTGTTTAGGTCCTTCACCACTTCAAGTGATTCGAGATATTCAGGTATAAAAAACACGTGGCCACAGGGTTTGGTTTCAAGGTGCTTTCATACCATTCATGATCTTCACTATTTCAAGTCCGTTCATTATTTTCATTATGTTTTTTTTATGCATAATAAAAATCATGAACGATCTTGAAGTGGTGAAGACCATGAATGGTCTTAAAACACCCCCCCGATCTTCAGTGGGGGGGGGGGGGGGGGATACCATTCATGATCTTCACCACTTCATGTCCGTTCATGATTTTAATGATGCTCTTTTTGCATAATGAAAAGCATGATCTTGAAGTGGTGAAGATCATGAATGGTCTGAAAGCCCCCCCCCGATGTTTGGAGGGGTGCTTTCAAACTATTCACGATCTTCACCAGTTCAGGTCTGTTCATGATTTTCATGATGCTCTTTATGCATCATGAAAATCATGAACGATCTTGAAGTGGTGAAGACCATGAATGGTCTGAAAGCACCCCGCTGGTGGCCGGAGGGTAGTGTTTTTTATGCTTTCATACCATTCATGATCTTCACCACTTCAAGTTCATTTATGATTTTCATGATGCTCTTTATGCATAATGAAAATCATGAACGATCTTGAAGTGGTGAAGACGAAGGAATGGTATGAAAGCACCCCCCTGGTGGTCGGGGGGGTGTTTTTAAACCATTCACGATCTTCACCACTTCAAGTCTGTTCATGATTTTCATGATGCTCTTTATGCACGAGGGGGGTGGGGCGGTGCTTTAATACTATTCATGGTCTTCACCTTCAGGTTCATTTATGATTTTCAGGCGGGTGAAAATCATTCATGATCTTCATCACTTCTAGTTCGTTCATGATTTTTATAATGTTTTTTAAGCATCAGGGGGAGAGTGCTTTCATACCATTCATGATCTTCACCAATTCAAGTATGTTCATAATTTTCATGATTTCGAAGGGGGAGAGGGAAAATCATGAAAATTTCAAGACGACTCGAAATCATGAAAAACGCATTAAATTTTCAAGAAGAGGGTGAGTGTGAAACTTTCAGGTGGGCAAAAAGCAGGGAACTTTTCAAATGGGTGAAAAAAAATTCAAGACATGTTTTTTAAGATATGAATAAAATATTTTACTAAATATTTTCACCATGAATGTCAGTGACCTCCTCCCGAATTCATGATCCAAGCATGATTTCCATGAGAAACAAAACAACTCAATTTTTTTCACTTCACAATTTTCATCTATGAAATTTCAGGTATCCGATAACCACTTGTGCGTTAATTTTTAATCATGATATTAAAATTTTGGGTATATAAAACACATATAATCTTTATGACTTCCCCCTTTTCCTTTAAATAACATGGTTCAATGAACCTCTCTCAATCTTTATGAACGTGTCTCGTATATTTAAAGCGGGCTCACGTACCTCAAAGTGACACCCTATAAGACAAAAGCAAAATAAAATAATAATAGAAAAAAAAAACTTTGTATTTTTAATACAAAGACGAGGGCTTAAAGTCAACTGCTATAGCTCGACCTTTGTAAGAATCTAATCCTTGTGTCTTTAGTAAAAGTCTCATACTACTGTAAACCTCTATATGAGGGCAATTTTTTTTTTTTTAATACCGAACGCCTAACCCAATATTGCAATGACTTTACTCTTACTAAATCAATAATGCAACTCTCACTATCGATCAAATTAAACCGAGTCCTTAAACAAATTTTCGCCTAACTCGACTTGAATTTTCCTTTTACTTGCTTAATATGTTTGACCAACATAATTATTGCGACTGTAAAAGTCAAACCTTTAATAAGTTTAAAATGTCATTGGACAATTAAAAAAATGTTGCACAACATTTAGGTTTACAAAGTTTTTATTTACCATCTACGGTCATAAGCATCAAATGTCTATTCCAACATATCTCAATCTTCTATACCAAGTGAGATGCAACTTATCTCAAATTCTTTATACTAAGCGAGACATACAAATGCGGCTTGCATCACATTCAAACTATTCTCACACACATTCCCGCTTGGAGGCGCTCGATTAAAACATTTGATAATCCTTCGCACAAGATGAGTACGCAAATGCTAAAATAAGTTCAGAGGTATTGGCTTCCCACTGTTGTGGCTCGAAGGAAGTAGATGGTCCACCACACCCGACAACCTTTACGAGGGGATTGGCCCAATGAGTGGTTGACCAGTGTGTTGTCATTTTGGATTCATACACAAAATGTTTTGTCCTCCCGTCTAATCCGAAATGATGCAATGTCACATGCAAAGTACTTTTAGTGCGCATTGTGGACCATCATCCTTCCAGTTGTACTGACGCACTTGGCGCCATTTCGTATTCAGACACAAAACATTTTGTCCACCGATCGCTATCCGAATGATGTGACATCGTGTGCAAAGTACTTATAATGCACATGGTGTACTGTCGTCCTTTTGGTTGTATGAACGAGCCCAGGATGTTTGTGGTGACAAACCAGTTTGAGCGGGATTTTTGAGAGGAAGTAGGCATCCGTTGGCACCAAATTTTTCATTCAAATGGTATCAGCCTCCTTCGCGGTTGGCAGAACTCGAAAGTTGGCGACTTTTCACATCTCTCAAAACAGGCTCGGAGGTAGTAAGATCCCATCGTCATTCTATTGTCCAAGATCCAAGTGATGGGATCTTGCTCCAGGACCAGGTCTCAAGTCCCA